GCTTTTCTTGTTTTTCTTGTTATGTAAGAAAACCTCGATGTATAAACCTACAGGTGCGATGCCTTTACATTACCTCCAGGCTTTCCGGTCCTGATAGGATTATAATAAACGAATTAACATATTATACAATTATATACAATTAAATAACCACTTGGACTTCAAAGTCTTCTTCTAACTCAGTATCACCTACAATACCATCCAAATTCAACTCTTCGTCATCAAATATTAGTTTCACATTTTTCATATTAACCTCTGATTCTAGCATGCCCTTTGTCTTTAAAAAATATTGCAACAATTTCCGAATCTGTGTTACTGGCGATACTTGAACCTCAATTCTTTTATTATCTTTACCCTTGAGCCCTATCACAAAATAGTTTTCACTGTTCCTTTCCTCCTCCTCCTCCTCCTCATCTAAATCAATCACAATTGGTCTAGAAGACACATCATTCGCCTCAAGTATACTGGTATCATCTGGCTCTTGATCCTGTTCATCAATTTGCTCTATCTCATCTTCTAAATCAGTAATTTTTTTAAGTGAGGATGCGCTTGTTTCAAATTCTGGGTAGATATTGGTAAAGTTATCCAAATTTGTTTTAGGAATAAGCAAACAATATAAGTACGCAGAGGTATTTGGGGTTTTCTTCAAACCAGTTGGAGTTTCCGGTTGCACCCTCAAAGTACTTGGTTTAAAAAAAGGTTTGATTTCCATTCGCCCATCTATCCATATTAGAGAAACATCATCGCTCGTGTATTTAACACCTTGAACCATCAGGAAATATAATGTAATAGTATCTAGGGTCTTAGAAAACCGATTGGTTCCTTTTGTTCGAAATGTGGAATTAATGTCTGTTCCATCAACCAATTTAGAAGTTACTTTTAAAATATAATTTCGTTTACTTTCATTTTCATCGGTAAATTGATATCCTCCTTGTGAACCACTAGGGGTATGTGACCTGCGATATGACGAGCGCTTCAAAATCTCTAGATCATCATCATCATCTTCTTCTAGATCAAAGCTATTGGCTTCTGACAGTCTTTCCAGCTTCATGTGTTTCGCCAATAGTGCCTCTTTGTCAAATACAGGTGGGGGTGTTACAGAGCCAATTCTATTCGATAATGGTTCTTCTTTTCGATTCGGAGTCTTAGTACTAGATATAATAACCTCCTCCACTTCCGAAGATCCATTATCGCCTATTGAATCGCTGATTTGTTGAATTTTCAGAGAAGTCTCTATCATACTTTCTGCATCTGTGGCTTCTTTGTGGGCATGTTTCGATTTCTTCGATTTTTTCTTTTTCTTCTTGATACTTGGTTCTCCGAGGGCGAAGAAATCATCTAAAATATCCTCCTTTCTCTTTCTAGTACTTTCTTTTGGACTTCTATCCTGCTTTACTTCTTTCTTCGCTTCCTGTTTTATTTGCGATGATCTTCCTATAGCAGCATTTTGAACTTCTTCAGCGTGGTTTTCGTCTGCACTGATTACTTCAATGTATGATGGAGACGAATTTCCTTCTAATATTTCATTCGAAGTGTAGTATTCACTCGTACAATCAGCAGTATCTGACTGCATTGCTAATGAAGAATTACTGACTAAACTCTCTGATAGTAGTATTATTACATTTATATTTCGGTGTTTACAGGTTACCTCGTATTTACAGATTATGACATTGTTTATCATAACAAACACTATTTAGTAGAGATCTCTTCCTAGACAAACTCCGATTCTAAAGCATATATTCTAGATGATGAATCAAGATGAAACTGGTGCCGAGTTCCAAAAGATTGCTGCTAATGCATCTTTGGGTGGTACTACCACGAGAAAAAATATAGAAAAAACGACTCCAGTGAGAGCTGCAACTGCTAACGGTAATTCTACTAAACAACTGATGAGAGATATTTCATTCAAGCCAAGATTTCGATACAATTATGGATTTGATGAGAGATTTTATGAACATGCATTGAAATATAAGGATTCATGGCAAGATAAGCTATTTTATGTGGATGAGGATGAGTTGATAGATGAATTTAAAGCAGGCGAGTCGTGGATTAAAAAGTTGCCTATAATTGATGCAAGCGAGTTGAAAATTAGTGATATGAAGTTGGAAAAGCTTAGTGAAATAGAGATTAAATCACAATTCGGGCTTAATGAAGATTCATTACGATTGCATATCGCAAGGGACAAAACGAAAAAAGATGCAAAGTTGCAATTCGGTGAAAGTCTTGAATTGAACAATACGTTAAAAAGAAATGGATTAGTATTGAATGCAGGGGGTCAGGTCGTTTCAATGAGTTGGATGCCGCAGAAATTCAACGATAATGGTGCAAGATACCAGTATTTGGCTGTGTCTGTAATTAATAATGCCAATGGCTTGAGCGATACTATAAATAATCCCCAATTGAGTGTTTTTCATAATGCACCTGGTAAAGGCTCCAATAACGTTAAAACAGGAATACAAATATGGCAATATGATCTAATAGAGAACAAATTTAAATTGTATAAATTTCTTATAACGACCTCGATAGGTGCCTGCTCACGTTTGACATGGAATCCGATATATATAGGAGGAAGTACAGATACACTCGGCATATTATGTGGTACATTTACTGACGGTAAATTGCACTTACTAAAGATCAAAAGGAATCATAAAGATGTCCCCGAATTATCGAAGTTAGTACAATCCTCTCTCCATTATGAATTAAAGGACCCAAGAGGAAATAAAGATGAGGATACTGTAGGTATTATTTGTTACGACTTTTTAGGTCACGATAGGGTAATTGTTGGCCTGTCTGTTGGATCAATTGCTGAATTTATTTTACCATACTACACTTCAGAGATAGATGCAACGGGAGAAGATGATATACACCAACCTTCATTTGTTCAAACAATTTCAGAAACGCCGTTAACATCCATTTCGGTTGCTAATCCGGATAAACTGAGCTACTTCATCCTTATAAATACATCAGGTAGTCAGAGTTTTGCCCTAGAGTATGCTAACTTTCAACAAGGAAGAGTAGAATCTTTTCCAACTAACACTTTATTAAAACCTATCTACAATCATAATTTAAAGGTTTTTCTCTTGTCGGATGCATGGGATAGTATAGGCTATAATTTTGTTAGACACCCACAAGAAAAACCAAGCTCTGTATTAAAACTTGATGGGGTTGTTTCTTCCTTCCACTCATCAGAAGTCGTTGGTCATCCTCTTAATATAAATGGGTCAACATTTGGCGAAATTCATATTGTGAATATATCAAGAAAGATTCTAAATGGTGCTAAGGCAACAAATAAGCTATTGATACCGTTAAGGTTGTGGAAATTACAATTAAATTCAGATAAAGAAACTTTGGAATTATCGGGTGACTACGAAATTGTCCAAACTGATAAGTCAACTAAAGTCAGTGTAACTCCACCTGAAGTAATTATATCCTCCTTAGCATGGAATGAAAATTTGGAAGGTAGCTCAATTTATGCGGCTGCTACGGTATCTGGGTTATTAATTTTGGAAAGATTGGATCCTAAATATAATAGTAATAATAATTAAGTACTACTTAGAATATATTAATTAATACTGTGGGATACTCGAATCGATTTCTTCGCTCCATTTATTTATACCACCTTTAATATCCTTTACTTTACTAAAACCAAATTTTTCAATTAACTTTTTAGCAGCTATCTGTGAGTCATTGCCATAGCGACAAATAACAAAGGTTTCTGTATCCTTATTAAAATTGGGAGGGAAGTACGAATCTATATCGTCAGCTTTGTTGATTGTTGGATCCCAAGGAATATTTATGGAAGTAGGTATTTTGGTGATTTCATATTGTTCTTTGGGTCTTACATCGATAAGTATAGAATTATGATTTGTACTATGGACGTAGTCATGATATTCATCTACACTTATTCTGAATTCTGAAGCTAGCACATTTGGATTAACTCTCCCACAAAATTCAGCATAATCTATATCATTGTTGGTAATTGTACTCTTTAATATAGTTGGTTTATTACCACACACCGCACAATTCTGTTGCTTATTTCTCATCTTAAACACTCGCAATTGTTGTTGTGGGTAGCCTGAGTACATAGACAAGAAAGGTTTAAAAGTTTCATCTGTGTAGAAATCCGTAATTAATTTTATTGCTTCCAACGCCATCGTAACTCCAATTAATCCGATAGCTGGTCCGACAACTCCACCATCAGCACAAGATGTAATAGATCCAGGAGAGGGTGGTTTGGGATAAAAGCATCTATAGCATGGTCCAATTCCGTGAAAGTTTAATATTGATAACTGCCCATCCGTTTTCAAGCCAGAACCACTCACAATTGTCTTCCCACATATGACAGATACATCATTTATCAAATATCTAGTGGCAGGGGTATCTGTACAATCTAAAATGAGATCATATTTTTCTATAATATTGAAAGCATTATCATTTGATAGCCTAAAAGGATATGTATTAACTTTAACATGGGGGTTTAGTTTATTGATGTATCTTTTAGCAGATTCACATTTATGGATACCCACACTCTCGGTCGTATGTAAAACCTGTCGATGCAAATTACTAATATCAACCAAGTCGTCATCTATTATACCAATTTCCCCAACTCCAGAGGCCGAAAGATAAAGCAAGGCAGGACAGCCTAACCCTCCAGCACCAATAACTAACACTTTATTCTTTTTGAGTTTAATTTGTGACTTAAGAGATCCAAACTGAGGTACTATCATTTGTCTGCCATACCGTTTATATTCATCTGACGAAAAGCACTCATCTATCTTAGGATATTTTGCATCATATTCAGATTGAACGGAAACATTTGACAGAACCGAGATACTTTCTTTAAGTTGTGAATTTTCTAGTTCAAGTTGCCTTATCCTTTCCAATAAGTCATCTTTTGATAAATCATTCATGTTTACTTATTTCATGTATAGTAGTTACGTCAAGAGATGAGTATGGTTAACATAATTTTTTCGTTTGTGCGAAACTTACATCAACCTTACAACTAACGATGTAAAGAATTTTATCAATTATAAATACTATATGTATGAAATACGTAAGGAAATTGATACAAAGTAGAATCTACATTGATCGCTGAAGGCTTGAATATTAAGATCAATTTCAAAAAACGCGTTAACAGCATTTAAACAATTTTTTGCTTAACGAAGAAACTCTTCAAGTGACGTAATTGGTAGACACAGGTACCAATCAAGACTATCAATTGAACGATAGACCATCTAACAACTCTGGAGTTGGTGGATTCGGATTGATCTCTGAATATAGCTTCTCTTTCTCTCATGTGTTCTTGTTCCCAGTGAATTTCTTCCAACTTTTTGTTTAAGTTTTGGACCTTCAATGTCAAGGCATCGACCTTGTGAGTAGACTTAGAGTCAATGTAGTCATGTGAAGAACCAGTGGCAATATCAAAGAAAATACGGTGTGCCTTACTATTAGAACCATCCGAATACTTTGGAGTCAAACAGAATTTATGTTCACCAGAATCCAAAGATGTGAACGTGAATTTACCGTTTGGATTAGACTTTTGGTCTACAACCTTGTGGTCATTGTCAAAGGTTTCCTACGTCTTGTTAGTAATCTATGCCCTATTTTGACCAAACCATCCACTACCCCAAATTTGGGTCCAATATAATGCATGAATTTCAAATAAATCAAATACTTACTTCAACAGTGATTTGCAATTGCAAATTAGGGTTTTTGACGTAATCCCCGTTGTTGGTTAATTCGGTGACATCTATTTTACCAACGACTAACGTATCCTGAGTTAATTCTTCAAAAAAACATCTAGTTTCACCAGTCTTCAAGTAGAAATGTAAACCGTTGGTGAATTGAACTAACACCAATAACGCAGTTATAAACTTAGCAATAAAAGCGTTCATTATTGACTAAATAAGACCTAATTCGAATGAAGTATTATTAAGAATTTATCCATTGAAATTTGATTCGAAAATTAACGCGTGTTCACTCAACGCACAAAATTCGTACCCAGATTTCCGAATTGCAAGGGGTCCAATAATAGCGATATAAATCCTACGTAATTAACAAAAGAGTATAACCATGGGATACGTGTTACAAATTGACTTCAAATCGAATGGACCATTCGGAGATGAATTGGCAGAGGCATGTGGTGATTTAGCAAAAAGTATCAATGAAGAGGAAGGGTTTATGTGGAAAATTTGGACAGAAAGTCCAGAAAGAAATGAGGTTGGTGGAATTTACGTATTCGAAAGTAAAGAAACAGCAGAAAAGTATTTAGATATGCATTCAAAAAGAATAGGTAGCTTTGGTGCTACTGACGTTAACGCAAAAATATTTGCGATTAATTCTAAGCTTACGGAAATCACTAATGGGCCAGTAAAATAAATTGGCTATGAAACCTTAATATCCGTATATATCAATTAATTTTGTGTCTGTGAGGACTAATTAAGCTACTGGAGAGTCAATGATGGAAATGGAAATGGAAATGGAATTATAATTATAATTATAATTATGTCTTATGTGTTATGTATATAGTATATATTTTACTTCTTGTTATGCTTACGTTTCAATTTATTCACCAAGTTGTTAAGATCGTTTGAGTTCTGTTCATTTGTAGCACTCTTCTTTTGCTTCTTGGTATTGTGCTCAGCTGGATCATTGAGATTTCTCTTGGAACGTTCCTGCAAGATTTTCTTCATGGTATTAGTCTTTTTGAATTCACTGCTGGTAGGATCAATGGCGTAGTCGTGGCTTTCAAAGATTTCCTTGAAACGAGGATCATTCAAATCGGCCTTGAAGTCATCCTGGACCATTTCGCTGTCAATATTCTTCTTGTTCTTCTTGCCCTTTCTGTTCTTTTGCTTTTCCAGTTTAATGACATCCTTCATGTTGAAGTGGTGGGCGTTTGAGTCGCCATTTTCTTCATCCATCATGACCAATTCTAATTGAGCCTTAGCCTTATCATCGTCATCATGAGAGACCTTGCCTTTGGTCTTTTTGCCTTTAGTTGCCTTAGTATTTTTCTCGGTATCTTTTTGAGCAGCATTCTCTTCTTCTTGCGTTTCCTTAAACTTCTCCATTCTACGCTTACGACGTTCCTTTTCCTTACGCTTGTATGCAGCAATGGTGGATTCTTCTTTTTCCTCTTCTTCTTGCGGTACCTTACTCTCGGCTTCGGTTAATGCAGGGTTGAAAGTGATTTCCATATCTACATCATCTTCTTTATTATCTGCATCTTTACTAGAGAATCCTTTACCCAATAAACTTTGATACTTATTCTTCAAATCATTATTAGTAGCTTCATTGTCACTTTCATCACTATCAGAGGCAAGATATGCTTTGAAATCCATTTCATCGATTTCCTTCTGGGAAAATTGTCTTGTTGAAACATTTAATCTTTCTTTAGGAGTTTCATCCCATGTCAATTTGACCTTGGAATGTTGCAATGCATCCGTCACGAAAGTAGAGTTTGGTTTATAATTAGATGGAATCTTGGTACATGTATCTTTCGACTCGCTTTCATCAAATTCCATTCCTTCAGGAATGTATCTCAAATCGAATATGTTGGCAGTGGATTCGTATTCGGTACCATCGCAGCTGTCGTAGATTTTCTTTGCAGTCGAGATCGAATCACATCTAACAACAGCGTAATAATATCTCAATCTCTGTAATTGGTAACGACGTAACGCCTTACTATCGTAATCTTCTTCCCCATCATCTTCTTGATATAATTTACGTGCCGCCTTTTCCAAGTCGTCTTTGTTATTGATGTCGATTTCAGAATCAGAATCATCGGAATCAGATTCAACCTTCTTACGTTTACTCTTGAATAACTCTCTAGGTGGACCTTCCACCTCTTCTTTTTGCATTTGTTCCTTTCCAAATTCGGATGGATATATGCTAATGGACTTAATCGAGCCACCTGTTGGTACGAAGGACAAGAATGTAGCCATCAAATCAACCGCTCTTAAATTATCCCAATCCATATTGACAACAGCAAAAGAATCAGATGGGTCACCTTCCTCTGGCTTACCTTCTTCAAGCTCAATCTCAGACTCGACTTCAGATTCGGATTCAGAGTCAGTCTCCAGATCGGATGAAGAGTCTTCAGAAGACGATTCCAAACCTTCGCCTCTAGCACGATCAACAAATGCGCTTTCAACATCATCTTTATCCTCTTCATCTTCGCTTGCTACTTTGGCGATTTCTTCTTCATCTTCACTAGAATCTTCTTCATCTTCGCTTGGCTCTTCGTCACTAGCACTATCACTGGATTCCTCATCCTCCTGTTCGTAATACTTATCAAAATCCTTTCCAGAGTCTTTATCCTTCAATTTTCTCCCATATCTATCAATTTTAACCTTCTTTCCCAAAGCCCCTTCGTTCAATTTGCTCAACTCCTTCTTACTGAAACGCTCATCGACTTTAACCTTGACATTTCTCAAATTAGGTAAATTGAACCTTGGATCGCTGTGGACCGATGAAAACCTCGTGTCTTTTATCACAGGACGATCTGACTCCGAAGAGCTCTCTTTTTTGCTTCCTTTTCCCATTTCTGCGCTCTGGTTATGCTATAATATACCGCTTCTCTACCTCAACTACTATCAATAGAGCCATATTTTCAAAAAAAATCGATGCGGCTCATATCGACCATCGGGTAAACACACGACCACATATTTCTCCCATCGACTTTCCTTCTGTGACGATAACCGAAGCATATATGGCGTCTACCATAAATGTAAGGTATTTTAGTAATTATGATACGTAGTATGTAGCTTAATTCTTATATTCTTTAATTCGAGCCGCCGCTTTTAATCGTGGCTTAATGTTATCCCGCTACCCCTACCAAATTTGTAAAATTTGTACTGTGTAAAGCCTCTATTATCTGATGCTTCTACATTTTTCACTCTAACTCCAGTCTCAATCCGTCCACTCGTAGTATATATATTGTGTTGTCGAGGTACCTAACCGATGAACGAAGCAAGTTATCGAATAAAGGCAATTATGGATATTTCATGTGACCACCATCACGCGATTTGATCGGTCACTATATATGGTCAACAAAATACCAGAAGGATGAAACACATTCTTTTTGAATAGTAGTAGTAATTTTACAGAATTGCACTTTAACGAATACAATTGAATCATAAACAAGATGTCGTGGCAAGCATACACCGATAATTTGGTTTCCACCGGTAAAATCGATAAGGCAGCGTTATATTCGAGGGCTGGGGATTCATTGTGGGCTCAATCATCAAACTTCCAATTGAACCCAGCAGAGATCACAGGCATTGCTAAGGGATTTGATGATGCATCAGATTTACAAGCCCACGGTTTGCATGTTCAGGGCCAAAAATATTTACTTTTGAGGGCTGATGACAGATCTATCTACGGTAGACAAGAAGCCGAGGGGGTTGTTGCAGTTAGAACGAAACAAGCGATCTTGATAGCCCATTATCCAGCGGGAGTTGTTGCAGGTGAAGCAACCACTGTTGTTGAAAAATTGGCGGACTATTTGATTAGTGTTAATTATTAAGATCTGTCCGAATTCGGTCACTTGAATACCATTTTACAATATGTGACCACATGTTCTTTTTTCTCGTTTTCATCGCCATGCTCTGTAAACGACTGTGGAGCGATGTATTATGTAGTGAGAAGTTTATAGTAACTAATATTATACAAGTATTGCACCTGTAGCATATGAGACTGCGACTAGTGTTCCAGCGGGCGGCTACGCTACACGATTACTAGGTTACAAAATTAATTTTGCCACTTAATCTGCCCAATTCATTGTATGAGAATTCATTATATATGAGAATTCCATGTACGCTAGGATAGGGACCTTTAGAAGTACATCTTACAACAGATTCATCTTTTCTACGGACAAAATAAGTTATGTAGCCCCTACAACTCTTCAAGCCGTTGAACAAGAATTGTTAAAGTCTCATACAATTGCAATCAATAAACAAACGGCTTCCCTCGAACAATGCATCTATAGGTCGGCTCTCCATCATATTTCCCTCAAGAGGGTTGTGATGGTCTTCTACTGAAGACACCTCTGGATCCCTCTAAAATGACACAAAACCTCTAAATAAATTTTGGATTTTGTACACGACCTATTTCTAAAGACTCTGTCGTTATTGGTTAATGAAAAAATGAATAATTGTTTGTATAAGAAGTTGGTTTTGATAGGATTTTTTAATTAAATACACCAAGTAGAGATGTTTGCAAGAACAGCCAGAAGTACGCGTCACATAAAGAACGTATGGAGAAGAAGCTATTCGACTGAAGAACCAAAGGGTGGTAAAGCTAAAGAAATTGAAGTTAATGTCACCAAAATTTTCGGTATCGCTGCTTTAGCTGGGGGATTATATGTTTACAAGAATTCATCCGAAAGAAAAGAACCACTCATTAAGACACCATTATACAACCAAGTCGATGAACGTGAAAACTTAAGAAATGAAAACTACCTTAAACGTTACAAATCATCATTCATTAAATCATATATTAAGGATAGAGGTGGAATAGGTCAAAGACAATGCAGACGTATTAGCGAAGGAGCCGTTCCAACCAACCTTATTCCAACACACTCGCCATTTGGCAACCAGTTTGGTGCTGGTATTAAAACCGATAATTTGGGTCCACGTAAGGAACGTATTAGAGTGTACGCTCCACTTAAATCCGACCAATAATCAATCAATGAAAGCATTTAAAACCAATCATTCACTAGCCTGTGGTGTGCTATCGGACGTCGTTGTCGGGGTAGCAGCATTTGTTTATTAGGAGTAAGTGGACACAATGTCACCACACTTATATTAGATTTACAACATTGAAATTCTACATTTCTATTCTTCTATTTCATACATTTAATAAATCAAAAAACGTTATTATTGCACGTGTAGGGAGATGGCATTTGTGTTGGGATCGCGTGAAGAGTTCTTGATACAGTTGCCAATTCAGGGTGTGCTGGATTTAGTTCTGCAGATTCACTGTTGACTCTGAAGCCATTGATCGGCTTTGACAATCTTAGCTGAGTGAGAGCAATTCTACCAATGGAGGATACTGCGTTCACTTCTAAATTGTTTGTATTGTAAGGCTTCCAAGCCTGTCTTTATCATCAACTCTATATCTTGTTACTCTTTAGGCATACCAGCCCTTGTTATAAAGCAAACAAAATTTACAGCTTACCAATTATCAGGAAATTCATATCTATTCATGTCTGTTCACTTCTGCGTACGCATCCGAGCTATCTTCTCTTGTCTATACCTGAATCGATCGTACTAGATCTGGTTACTGACATGCGGCAATGTCTTCCCTCTAATATTTCGCCTATATAGTCTGACCATCTGTTATTTTCACAGAAGAGAGTCTATAGCATTTCAGTACATTTACCCTAGCTACTTATGTCAACAACCAACTTCAATGCCCAAAATATTGGGAATTGGGTACATGTTTTATCTGATAGTACTTGTAGCACCTGTGTATTACACGACTAACAGCATACTCTGCAGCAATTCAGGAATTACGGGAAAAATGCCAATGATGAAAAGGGTGTTAAACAATCTTGCGTTCAACAGATTTTGAGTACTACGGGTGAATGTACTTTGAATCAGATGGAGTACTCGTTTCACAACTGGTAAAATAGCCTGATAAATCCAGACGCATCTATACCATGTATGCAATTAGAGCAGCGAAATTATGTAGAAGATTTGAGAGTGTTTTTTGTTGACAAGGGAGATTGTGTAAGCAACTTCGAAATGTCAATATTGAGCGGTTAATAATTGACACATTATGTGAAACGTAGGAGGATAATATGGATTATCTTTCATTCTTTATATAAGATTCGCGACGAACACTTTTGAAATGCGCTAAATGATTTCAAATTCGTAAATTTGCGAACACGTTCTTATCTTAAAACTTGATGGTTTTACATACATCGCAAATTTGTGTTGCATGTGTATATCCTAAGATGTGGTGGCAATGTTTATGAAGTACTTATAAACATCTACACTCATTACTAAGTCAAGTCGTAATTAACCCATTTCAAGTAACTGCTTGGAGGACGAACACTCATTCCATATTTAGTTGTGACCAGGCGCACGAGTCTAGACGACCAAATGTTATTGATTGTCTCTTTATATTGATTTCTAGTAAGACCAGTAGGCTGAGAAAGAAACAACCAACTCTTTTAAATGTATGTCACATAAATATATGTCTCGCCTGGGTTAGATCTACATTCCCCAAGAAGAGGAAAATACTAAGTGAATAATATGTATACTAGAGTCAGTAGGCTTAACAATTAGTTACTGTTAACGGACATGAAACAATATGTTACATGAAAAATAGAGAAAATGTATCGGTCTAAATATATGTCAGAAATAATAGATAAGAGGAAAATTCCCCACTTGATAACGGAATATATGCCAAGTAAAATGTGTTTTAGACTTCTTTCTGTTTAGATTGACAGGTTGAAAATTAACCAGAACTTTCACCGCCCATTGGCTCCTTCCGCCCATCAGGATATAATGTATACCATTTGCCTTCTTCAAAAACTGTAGCTGGTTGTCCACTTTTTTGTGCTAGCCTAGCCAGTTCTGCGAGAAAGTCTTGTTTAGTTTTCTCGAACTTTTCTGCCTGTTTTTCTTTTCTGTCGAGCTGTGCTTCAAGTAACTTAATGTGGACCGTATCTCTTGCGTCGGCCAATTTGTTCTTTAAATCACTGAATCTACCCATTTTCTTTCTTACAATACAGAACCAAGGCTCATTATTTAAGAGAGTATTCGGGAATTGAGAAATCTTATATAGTATTTACGAGATCCCGTCTATTATGGTTTTAACACATATGACTAATCTATACAATAAGTACTGTGAATTCGCAACCGTGCATGCATAACAATAAATGAGATACAAAGGGAACTATCGACCTGAAGAATACACACCTTTATCATAATCCTACAGGTACGAAATGTACAATTGGTGGAATTTTAAGCCAACGGATGTTATCTAGGATAGATTACTTAGGATGGACTTTGTATCTGGCGCTTTGATCATTAGGCATGGAGGTTAATGCAGCATGTATAAGAAGGATGCTAATGTGCAGTAATTTGAGCTCTATTTATAGGAATGATGTCTAGTGGTACGATTTTCGGTTTGGTTCAATATGAAAACAGAAAGACTAAAAAACTCCTCGGCATCAATTCTAGGTCTCTCAAAGACACAGTTCCTAACATGGTACGTCAAAATCTTTATTATCTGCATTAATTTGTTATATCTGGTTCGTGACATGAATCAATCCTTATTCAACTGTAGTTCTACAAATGATGTTTCTTTCAATAAAAATATACAAAAATTCTTTGAAACAAAGTGTTATAAATATAGGGAAACACAATGATATAGTTGATACAGATTAAGCGTGGGAAATGAAAAGCATTTTTCATTTAGATTGACTTATTGTCAGTTGTTGCACCTATCAAGTCAAGGAAATGTGAAGAATTAGCAAATACCGATATTTATTGTGTGTCCTCTTCGTGTAAATTTTCATGTTGTGTGGAAATTATTCCTATCTGACCTAATGATTTGGTTGTTTGCCGAGCAACGCCTTCTGACTATTCACAATATCCATCACATCGACTCTACATCTAATGGATTGGTCTAGATGTGGTATTTCTCCTGCTAGTGGTATTATTTGTTAGCCCCAGATCGTAACTTCCTCCATATTCTGAGTGGAAGTCAATTGACAAAGTTTAGTTCGACAGCTCACTTATATATTTGCGATTAGGAAGCTGTCAATGGTTTTCAAGCGCTCCAGATACTGAATGCTCCCATTATGTCCAATACCCAATAGTGGTTAAGTACAGCTTGCAATCGAATACAATTTTTATCTACTATTTTAAATCTAGTTGCTAAGAAGTGAATTGCTGATGGATGAGCATCTGTTGTTCAAAAACCCAATGAACAAAAAGCAAAATTATTATATGAAGCGATAGAGAAGGATCTAAATTGCTACATCTTACCACCGACCAACCCAAATGTTCGCTCTAGGATGAAGATCGTTTTCAACTTATCAAATGCTGACTTAGAAGCTAAATTGGTTCCAGAGGTTGCTAGGAAGAATTCAACTGGCTTGAGTGTCATGGATCAGATGGTGGGATGAACTTCAAGTCTTTCTCTCAAAGCTGCAAAGCTATTGGTTCGTCAATGACTTTGCTGAAGCCATTCAATAGTAGTAATACTGTATATTTATTTATATGTTTAATATTAACTAGAACTCAACTATACCATAGCCGAAGCTATATCCCAATACTGATAAGGCCTGATATATCCGACTAACAATACTTTCATGTTCATTAAAAATGATCGTGCGGGAACCCAATCCGACGTTCGACAGTATATATAATGTACATCATGCCATTCAATATACTATCTACCTAAACATTAAAATAGCCTCAATATGTCAATCGAATGGAATGTTATAATCTATGATAAGCCAGGTACTGACAGAACCGCTGTCAGACCTACACATGTTGCAAACATTCCAGAATCAGTGAACAAAGGAATTGTAACTTCTGTGGGGGCAATTTACCAAGACGTTGAAAAGACTAAATTTGCTGGGAGTGCATTCCATATTATAGCCAATTCTAAAGATGAGATCATTGAGTTCTTAAAGAAGGACATATACTACGAAAAAGGTATTTGGGATATAGATTCCGTCATTGCCCATCCAATTGGCGTGGCATGCAGATTACCTAAAAAAATGAACGGTGTTACTGTTGACTTCGCCAATTTATAATCATTATATCATATATTCAATATAAGGTTTCTTAGTATTCTACAAGTAGTTATTATCTGTTCGGCTAACGGCCGAATTTAGCATCCGAACCCGATCGATGAATTTTTAAAATCTATACGATTAATTGAATACCGCAAGAACAAATTGAGGCATAAGTAATTAAAGGTTATAGAATACTTCTTTCCATGTAGACTCGTTTAAAGAATTCACGAACATAAGTTCTTGGGGTCTCAATTGTACTGCTTTAATAGTTCTAGTGCAACCTGGAGATTAGTCTCTACTTCCTGCATCACCATCCCCACACCCAGAAATATATTCAGGGTTGCGAATGTTAAGGTTCGCTTCGGATGAGTATATTATTCCCGTTTGTTTATATGGTACTCATATACATTTAGGGCGAATGGATGTGGTACAGATCAAGACAATGTACCATGATAGACTGAGCAGCTGATTTGAATAATTTCTAGTTCCGGAAACGATAAAAAAGTTTATGGGCCGAACCGACGATCAATATACCAAGTTTATAGAACCATATCCTATGGTTATAAATAAGACAAATAGTTCCGATAGTTAGGTATTTCTTAACTTCTATAGTATATATTATTATTTAAGTGACATAGTTCGTTGAAAGACTCTAAAATAATTTCAATAATTCTTGCTGCAAATTGAGAGTATTTATCTCGCATATAGATTTACGAATTTAATAAGAGCAATAGATGAATTCAAGTATCAATTACGATGATGCCTCCCAGAAATCATCTACAGTTGATGGTCTGGTGGATGATAACAAAATTCCTGTGTACCAGGGGTTTGACCAAGGAGTCTCATCTCAGGTGCATAACTTGGCCCGCACAATGAGTAGAACATCGGAAGAGAAACCATCCTCGTTGGCTAGAACATTGAGCAATATGTCACAGGTTCCGGGAGTAAATCCAATGGCTAAGGAAGATGGAGAAATAGATCTCAGATTAGACCCTGATTCAGAAAATTTTGATTCAAAGTTCTGGGTGAAAAACCTCCGGAAGATGTACAATTCTGACCCTGCGTATTATAAGCCGTCATCATTGGGGGTGGCATATAAAGATCTTCGGGCTTATGGTATTGCTACAGATGCTGATTATCAGGCTGATGTAGGCAACGTTGTCTACAAGTCAATTTCTCAAACTATCAAGGGATTTATCGATAG